AAGTGTGATTAGGTAGATATATTTCTCTGACTTTACACTCTGTAGAAGTGTGATTAGGTAGATATATTTCTCTGACTTTACACTCTGTAGAAGTGTGATTAGGTAGATATATTTAGAAGTGTGATTAGGTAGATATATTTCTCTGACTTTACACTCTGTAGAAGTGTGATTAGGTAGATATATTTCTCTGACTTTACACTCTGTAGAAGTGTCTAGATATAGACTTTACAGTGTGATACACTCTGTAGATATGTTTCTGACTTTACACTCTGTAGAAGTGTGATTAGGTAGATATATTTCTCTGACTTTACACTCTGTAGAAGTGTGATTAGGTAGATATATTTATCTGACTTTACACTCTGTAGAAGTGTGATTAGGTAGATATATTTTTCTGACTTTACACTCTGTAGAAGTGTGATTAGGTAGATATATTTCTCTGACTTTACACTCTGTAGAAGTGTGATTAGGTAGATATATTTCTCTGACTTTACACTCTGTAGAAGTGTGATTAGGTAGATATATTTCTCTGACTTTACACTCTGTAGAAGTGTGATTAGGTAGATATATTTCTCTGACTTTACACTCTGTAGAAGTGTGATTAGGTAGATATATTTCTCTGACTTTACACTCTGTAGAAGTGTGATTAGGTAGAGATATTATATTTCTTAGGTAGATATATTTCTTTACACTCTGTAGAAGTGTGATTAGGTAGATATATTTCTCTGACTTTACACTCTGTAGAAGTGTGATTAGGTAGATATATTTCTCTGACTTTACACTCTGTAGAAGTGTGATTAGGTAGATATAGATATATTTCTCTTTACACTCTGTAGAAGTGTGATTAGGTAGATATATTTCTCTGACTTTACACTCTGTAGAAGTGTGATTAGGTAGAGATGTTTCTCTGACTACACTCTGTAGAAGTGTGATCAGGGAGAGTGATTTTCTTTGATGATACACTCTGTAGAAGTGTGATATAGACTTTACACTCTGTATGTGATATATTTCTCTGACTTTACACTCTGTAGAAGTGTGATTAGGTAGATATATTTTTCTGACTTTACACTCTGTAGAAGTGTGATTAGGTAGATATATTTCTCTGACTTTACACTCTGTAGAAGTGTGATTAGGTAGATATATTTTTTCACACTCTGTAGATGTGTCAGGTAGAGATGACTTTACACTCTGTAGAAGTGTGATTAGGTAGATATATTTCTCTGACTTTACACTCTGTAGAAGTGTGATTAGGTAGATATGTAGGATTGTACATCAAAGTGTGATTAGGTAGATATATTTCTCTGACTTTACACTCTGTAGAAGTGTGATTAGGTAGATATATTTCTCTGACTTTACACTCTGTAGAAGTGTGATTAGGTAGATATATTTCTCTGACTTTACACTCTGTAGAAGTGTGATTAGGTAGAGTGTGACTCTGTAGAAGTGTGATTAGGTAGATATATTTCTCTGACTTTACACTCTGTAGAAGTGTGATTAGGTAGATATATTTCTCTAACTTTACACTCTGTAGAAGTGGGATCAGGTAGAAATATTTCTCTGACTTTACACTCTGTAGAAGTGTGATTATATTTCTCTGACTTTACACTCTGTAGAAGTGTGATTAGGTAGATATATTTCTCTGACTTTACACTCTGTAGAAGTGTGATTAGGTAGATATATTTCTCTGACTTTACACTCTGTAGAAGTGTGATTAGGTAGATATATTTCTCTGACTTTACACTCTGTAGAAGTGTGATTAGGTAGAGATGTTTCTCTGACTTTCACTCTGTAGAAGTGTGATTAGGTAGATATATTTCTCTGACTTTACACTCTGTAGAAGTGTGATTAGGTAGAGATATTTCTCTGATTTACACTCTGTAGAAGTGTGATTAGGTAGATATATTTCTTCTGACTTTACACTCTGTAGAAGTGTGATTAGGTAGATATATTTCTCTGACTTTACACTCTGTAGAAGTGTGATTAGGTAGATATATTTCTCTGACTTTACACTCTGTAGAAGTGTGATTAGGTAGATATATTTCTTTGACTTTACACTCTGTAGAAGTGTGATTAGGTAGATATATTTCTCTGACTTTACACTCTGTAGAAGTGTGATCAGGTTGGCGTAGATATATTTCTCTGACTTTACACTCTGTAGAAGTGTGATCAGTGTAGGGAGATATATTTCTCTGACTTTACACTCTGTAGAAGTGTGATTAGGTAGATATATTTCTCTGACTTTACACTCTGTAGAAGTGTGATTAGGTAGATATATTTCTCTGACTTTACACTCTGTAGAAGTGTGATCAGACTTTACACTCTGTAGAAGTGTGATGATATATTTCTCTGACTTTACACTCTGTAGAAGTGTGATCAGGTAGAGATATTTCTCTGACTTTACACTCTGTAGAAGTGTGATCAGGAGAGCGTAGATATATTTCTCTGACTTCACACTCTGTAGAAGTGTGATTAGGTAGATATATTTCTCTGACTTTACACTCTGTAGAAATGTGATCAGGTAGAGATGTTTCTCTGACTTACACTCTGTAGAAGTGTGATCAGGGAGTGATGATTCTTTGATTTACACTCTGTGGAAGTGTGATTAGGTAGATATATTTCTCTGACTTTACACTCTGTAGAAGTGTGATTAGGTAGATATATTTCTCTGACTTTACACTCTGTAGAAGTGTGATTAGGTAGAGAGGTTTCTCTGACTTTCACTCTGTAGAAGTGTGATTAGGTAGATATATTTCTCTGACTTTACACTCTGTAGAAGTGTGATTAGGTAGATATATTTCTCTGACTTTACACTCTGTAGAAGTGTGATTAGGTAGATATATTTCTCTGACTTTACACTCTGTAGAAGTGTGATTAGGTAGAGATGTTTCTCTGACTTTACACTCTGTAGAAGTGTGATTAGGTAGATATATATCTGTAGAAGTGTGATCAGGGAGAGATGATTCTTTACACTCTGTAGAAGTGTGATCTGGTTGGCGTAGATATATTTCTCTGACTTTACACTCTGTAGAAGTGTGATTAGGTAGAGATGTTTCTCTGACTTTACACTCTGTAGAAGTGTGATCAGGTAGATATATTTCTAGAAGTGTGACTTTCACTCTGATAGAAGTGTGATTAGGTAGATATATTTCTCTGACTTTACACTCTGTAGAAGTGACTTGCCACAAAGTATCCTTGGGTGAAGGGGATTCAAGTTTGTTCAAATGAAGGGCCACACCCTCATTCAAGGGGAGATAATTGCGTATTAATGAAAATTTGGTGGCAAATTTTAAAAATCTTCTTCTCAAGAACCACTGTGCCAGGAAAGATGAAACTTATGGGGAAACATCCTCAGGTAGTTTAGATTCAAGTTTGTTCAAATCATTACCCCCGGGATTGGGCGGGGCCAAAATGGCCGACCCAAGTTTTACATAGAAATATATAGGAAAATTCTTTAAAAATCTTCTCAAGAATGACAAAGCCATAATTCATCATATTTATTTGGAAGCATGCTCAGGTAGTGTAGATTCAAGTTTGTTCAAATTATGATCCCCGAGGGTAGGGCGGGGCCAAAATGGCCGACCAAGTTTTACATAGAAATATATAGGAAAATTCTTTAAAAATCTTCTTCTCAAGAACAGCAAAGCCATAATTGCTCAAAAATCTTCTTCTCAAGAATAGCAAAGCCATGATTGCTCATATTTATATGGATGCATCCTCAGGTAGTGTAGATTCAAGTTTGTTCAAATCATTACCCCCGGGGGTAGGGCGGGGCCAAACTTTTGGATTTAAACTTTTCAATAGTATTGTAAACCAATTTCTACTTTTTTCCTAGCCACAATGCTCGGGTTAGCGATGTGGCCCATGGGCCTCTTGTTTAAGCCTGACTTTCAGATAGGGCACTGCTTTGTTTTTAGCTCACCTGAGCTGAAGGCTCAAGTGAGTTTTTCTGATCACGATTTGTCCGTCGTCCGCCCGTTTGTCAGTCTGCCCCTCTGTTTGTAAACTTTTCACATTTTCGACTTCTTCTCAAAAACTACAGGGCCTATTTTAACCAAAATTGCTACAAAGCATCCTTGGCTGAAGTGGCATGAAAATTGTTAAAAGAAGGACCAAGTCCCCTTCCAAGGGCGGATGATTAAGAAATTACAAAATTTGGTGTAGTCATTTAAAAAATCTTCTTATCAAGAACCACTGATCCAGACAATCTGAAACTTATGTGGAAGCATCCTAGGGTAGTGTAGATTCTAAAATGTTCAAATCGTGATCCCCGAGGTTGGACGGGGCCACAATAGGGAATTTAAGTTTTAAAAAGAAATATGTAGGAAAAATCTTTAAAAGTCTTCTTCTCAAGAACCACAGGTCCGGAAAAGCTGAGACTTGTATGGAAGCATTCTAAGGTAGTGTAAATTCTAAATTATTCAAATCATGACCCCCGGGGGTTGGGTAGGGCCACAATAGAGAATCGAAGTTTTACATAGAAATTATATAGAAAAAATCTTTAAAAATCTCTTCTCAAGAACCATTGGTCCAGAAAAGATGAAACTTATGTGGAAGCATCCTGGGGTAGTGTAGATTCGAAATTGGGGGGGGGGGGGGGGGGTAGGGCGGGGCCACAATTTGGAATCCAAGTTTTACACCGAACTATATAGGAAAATTCTTTAAAAATCTTCTTTTCAGGAACTTCTGGTCCAGAAAAGGCTCAAAAGCTGAAACTTTTGCGAAAGAATCCTACGGTAGTGTAGAATTTAAATTGCCCAAATTATGACCTGTTTGGTAGAGTGGGGTTACAATAGGTAAAGCAAGGGGGAAATCGGGTAAAGAACATCATAGTCTAAGCTTCTCAGGTGAGCGATATGGCCCATGGACTTCTTGTTAACTTTTGCCTTGGCAACTCATTTTTTGACATTTTAAAACCTTCATGACAACTTAAAACTCTTGTATGTTGTAGTCATCCACCAGTTTGTACTTTTTATGAATATTCATTCGAAGCCAAAAAAAAAAGATTGAAAAAGAGAATCCTTTTATTTTACTTACAAAAATATTAATATATCAATTATATATACACGTATCAAAACAAACCAATTCACAAATATAGAGCTAGCGACATATTTATCTGTGAGTATAAATTCAAGACGTTCCTTTCAACATTCATTTTAAAACTAATCTGTAACAAAAATATGTTATAAATAAATCTTTTACAGTATTTCATTCCTATAAAAATAAATATATCAAATTTTTAAAACTACAAGTAGTATTTTTTTAACAATTTAGAAAAAGTTACATTATGCCAGGCATAATCTAAAACCACGTACATTCAGTTCACCCGAGATCCCCGCGATCTGTACACGTGTTAATGGCATCTTTACACGTGATTCTTCCCTCACAATCACACGAACACTTAATTTGAGAACACTTGTCATTGATCACAAAATCAGAGTTCCCGGGGTACTTTGACCCGGCGTGTTCACACTCGGTACACGACTTTTTCTTGTCCCTACAGATGTCCACGGTGCGGCTCGGTGGACAGTTATAGCTTCCGTCACAATGACAGTCGCAATCGTATTCGGCACAGCCGTTTACGTACTGGAATCTTGTGCCCGATCGGTACTTATTGCCTTGGACCACGCATTCGGTACAGTTCGCGGCCTCAGTTTCTTGGCGCGCGCGATGACTCCCACATCCGGGGATTCTCCTCGTCCTCTCAGCAGGACAGACGTAGGACCCGTCACAGTTACAGTCACAGTCGAAGCGGAAACAGTTCTTGTCGTACTGGAACCTTGAGTTCGGCTCTCTGTCGTATCCCTGGACATTACACTTCCTACAACCCCCGCTCTCCTGGGTGCAAATGTTTTCGGTGCGATCAGCAGGACAATTCCATGACCCGTTACAGTAACAATCGCAATTAAACCTATAACAACCATCTTCATGTTGGAATTGGGAGTTTCCTGCATATGTTTTACCGTGCGCTGTACACTGCCTACAGGACGACCCGTGACCTGATGACCCAGACCCAGAGCTGATGGAGTGGGTCTGACAAATCTCCTGTGTTTGAGATGCAGGACACTCCCAACTACCGTTACATGCACAGAAGCATGTAAATCGATAACAATTGTCATCAAACACGAATCTTTCGTTTGGTTTTCGTTGAGCTCCACCAGCAACACAGTAAAAGCAGCCGGTGTTGCCATAACTATTAGCAGACGAGTAACCGTATCTATAGAGATGACTGTGTTGGGAGGCAACATTTTGGTGACTGGAGCCCCTTTGATTTGATGATCTACTACTGCTGGAGGAACCACCTTGGCGTGTTGACCAACTACTACTGGAGGAAACATTCCGGTAAGACGACCTACCACTGCTAGCAGAGCCACTTGTATGACTGGATCCACGATCACAGAAGTTGACTGTTTTCTCAGCAGGACAATTGTATGCACCACTACAGTCACAAGTACACGTGTACCGATGACATTCTTTGTCGTATATGAACTGGGCGCCTGCACTGAAAGGCGTTAAAAGATTGAAATGAGAGACTAATTATCTAACGTATAGATTTTTCGAAAGTACTAGTAGTTTATTAACGAAATAACATATTTTTCAGCATACAAACCGATGTTGTCGCCCCGTTGGATCCGTGCACTGTCTACAGTGATGTTCATCCTCGCCATGCCTGCAAATTCTGCGGGTGTTCTCCGCAGGGCAGTTGTAAGTTCCGTCACAGGCACAGATACAGTTATATCTTTGACAGTCCTTATCGTATGTGAATCGACTATTTGCACTGAAATAGAATTCTATTTCCAAATGAAATTATTAAAACTTATATAAAAAAGGAAAACAGTGAATTGTAGATGTTGATAAAGTTATTCATTTCTAAGTAAAAAATAGGAGTAAAATATTCCATGGTTCTTTGAAATCAGATGTTTATTAGAAGCCACTGTCGGGTATCCGCGCCGGTTGTGACATGTTTGGATGCGGTGAAAATGGCGTAAAATCCACAAACGGGGAATACTGTGTACCTTTTCCAGGTCTATATTTCGGTAAATATTAATTTTTTCTCTCAATTTTTTATTGAAATTCTATAGGTATCTGGTTAATTTAAATGATGTGTTTCAATTCTGTTTATGGAGTTCATTAAATAACTCGTTGATGCACTTTTTTATCGATGCACTTGACATTCATACCCCTTTAGCAAGTTTTAATTCGTGATTGTTAAAATAATATCAGATATATTTAAAATCTGAAGCAGCCAAAAGAAAGAAAAATCATTTTACATTTAAGATATTAAAAGTGTAATTTATGTCCCATACAAGAAATGTATTTAAAAACCGTTTTATTTTATGTACCCATAACAAATATAGTACGGTTTGGATGATGGGAGTGTTCTGGTTTGGATGCAAATTCAACATCTATATGTTACGGTTTGGACGGTCTATAGTTTCAAATTTCTGAATCCTGTAGAGCTATGCGAACCAGTTTGCTTCTTTAATACACCCTTACATGAAGGAAATGGCGTTTATGATAACATATACATGTATATTAGTATCAATTCATAAAAAAAATTCACAGACACATAAGAATTCCCCTTTCCCTTCTTCATACATTGTTTTTACAGTTGATTTCATATAAAAATGTTGAATCCCTTTTTTCTCCACACAATTTAAAGGAAAGTTTCGATCACACCCCCTTTTTTCTTTAAAAACGATATTACGTGTCTGATAACATAAAATAAATGTAAAATATGTTAAATAAAATGAAAAAAAAATCGTATAAAGCATATCCCGTCAACAGTCCTGTCCCATTTATAAGGCAGATTATCCTTTGTTGATGCTCTTACATCGCCCGCGAGGCGCACTGGTTAGAGCGTCTGCCCTCGAGTCGCGTTCAGTAAGAAGTCGATCCTTACGTCGCGGGTTCGAATCCAACTGTAGGAGAGAACGGTCCTTCGGATAAGACAATATAAAGCGAGGTCTCGTGTCGCAGTGCGTGCTGGCACGAAAAAGATCCGTAACTGCTCAATGACACTTGTGCCGAGTATAGGACATGTAGATGGTGCTCACAGCTGTATTGTGCGACTGATCGTGTAATGCCGGACCTCACTTTGCAGAGATTTTAAACTTGTAATAAGCTTGCTACATTGATTGCATATGTTATATTCTCCCTCACTATGTCCATTTAAATGTAAATTTATATTCTAAGTATGAGAATAATAAGAAAAGAACTCTATATTACATACGCATTGAATCAGAGGGGGGGTATCATTAAATAGGCATGCATTGAACATTGGGGCGTTGGTTATCCCCCCCCCCATTTCAACAGGCATATAATCAAAAAAGGGTAAGCAGTATATATAGTGTTTGAAAAAATGGTAGAGAAAGAAATTAACCCCCCCCCCCCACACACACACACACACAGGAAATAGGATTTTGGGGATTGGAAAATTTCAATTCTTTTTTTTGGTCCATCAGTTAGCCCCCCCCCCCCCCATTTTGCTTCCGACGCCAATATGCCAGGATAGGTACTCGTTATAAACTTTTATTTTGCATTGTATTATATAACTATAATATTGATTAATTTTAATGTAAATGATTATTTCATGAATCAATATATTCAGCAGAATAGTATGTATTGTACATATAAACAGAATATGTCCGATTATGTAATAAGAGAATGAAATTAAAAAAAACCCACATGAATCAGTATATTGACTAAGGGCTAAAAAGGGGGGGGGGGGTCGGCTTCTTACACCATTTCCCCCAAATATAATTCATAATTAGCCTCTTGCTGTGGAACTTGTTCATTGAAAGGCCTGTAAACCTACTCTCTTTTTTGCGGGGTTGCAGTACAGTCAAGTTATCATTTTAAAGTATTTGTTTGTGATACCCCCCCCCCCCTTTTTCGAAATATGGTTTATGAAGTCCTGTTTTGAACCCATTTATTTCTTCGTTAAAGATGTTTCTAGGTAAGTTTTCAAACAATTTATCTGGAAACCCCACCCCTTCCTTTAAAAGTGTTAAAATTGACATTTTATACCATAATGTTAAGTATTATTTATATCAAAGAATCTCATCCAAACCGTATCAGAACTTCATCCAAACCGTACACAGTTTTGTAAACACTGGCATCCAAACATGTTACGTTGTTCTATAGAATGTCACCATCGGAACAGTTTCTTTGCATTATATTCGTGGATTAATGGCAGAGCTGCAGGATAAATAATTACTTTTAAACACAGGCTGTCTCTTAGTTGTAAAATTACATACTACAGATTCCATTTAATAAGACTAAATCCTTTCGATGAGTCGAAGCGGTTGATTGACTCCGCCATATTCACTGCATCCAAACATGTCACAACCGGCGCGGATACCCGACAGTGAGAAGCGGTCCTTAAAATGTCAAAACTTCCTCTTTCACTTTTCAAAAAAAATTACAATAAAACTGCTTAGCATGGTATTTATCAAAGATAATTAACAAACGGGTGTCGCCGTCCGTTGGGATCTGTGCACGGTCGGCATCGCTGCGGGGCTTGGGTTGGCTCGGGGCAAATTCTTCTAGTTTTCTCGGAGGGACAGTTGTAGCTTCCGTTACATGCGCAGTCGCATGTGTATCTTAGACAGTCCTTGTCATAGAGAAACTGTGTGTATGGTCTGAAATATATATCAACAAAAGCATAAATGTCATTGCAGATTTAAATGGTAATTTCATATTAACAACTGTAGATACTGTACCAGCATCTACATGATAACGAAGAAGATAATGCCACTCCACTTAGTCAGGGATTGTTTTACAAGACTTACTGATGTTCGTGTCCATCAGGGCCTGTACATGGTGAACACTGGGGCCTCACTTGGCAGACCCGCCGGAGGGCGCTGCACCGAGGACTTCCGTCACACCCACACTCACAATCATACTCTACACAGTTCTCTACTCGGCGATAACGCTCACCGGATCTGTATAATGACGACATTAATTAAAAGTGGAAATTGTTACAGATATTACTCCAAGAAAAAAATTTTGATGCACTTTAATGAAAAATCAATTTTGCGGGCTGACAATTAGTTTGATTTATTTTAAGTCATATATACGGGCACTAGATTAAGACTTACTGATGACTGACACCATCATGAGTACACGGTCTACACTGATTTTGGTCCGGACCACAGGTATTCGTAACTTCTCTGTCACAATCGTGGGTGCCATCACAAGAACATTTACAGTGAAGCACGTGACACTTGTCATAAACAATTGTAAATCTAATGGAAAAAAAATAATTTGGGGTATTAATTGAAAAAAAATAAAACATAATAAATCAGCAGAATTTTTTTTTATAGTATTTTATTCCGAGACGAATAATCCTATTCCATTTGTGTTTTTGCAAAACATTCCCTTACTTGGTGTTTGGCGAATAGTCCTTTCCTTGCACGTGACACTTGGTACATGTTGGACGTGGGGCTGGCGTTGTTGCTGTATGAGATTCGTGATGACACGTGTTTTCCCCTGAATCTCGACATCCATAGCGACCACTGCAGTAACACTCACAGTTATATCGCTTACAGCTCCGATCCAGACTGAAAGGCTGTTCAGACGGATACTCCTGGTTCCCCACTCGACAGGGCTTGCAGTGTTGGTGATCAATATGTGGCGCGGGTGTGGTTGGTTTAGAGCATATGTTAGTTCCTGTATTGACACAGTTGTGGGTGCCATCACAAAAACACTGACAGCTATACCTATAACATCCCTGCTCTCTGTGAAATTTGGTTTTGCCTTGATGAACTTTTCCATCAACTGTACAGGACCTGCACGTGTTAAGTTCATGAGAGTCATCGCCGATATATTCAGCATTGGCTCTGTCACACGTATAACGATTGTCACATTCACAAGTGCAAGTCATTCTCCAATTTCCTTGAGTGAGCGTAAACTTTGAATTTGCAGGCCTATAATGACCTTCAACGGTGCAACCACCACATGTTTGAGGTTCTGCGCATGTGCGAAAAGGAGATGAACACCGAACATGTCCGTTACAATCACACTGACAAACAGTTCTCTCACACGATTTATCGATGTTGAATTGGGTATTAGGTTGCCTGGTCACACCGTTGTAGACGCATGGTAGACATCCATCGTGATGCGTACAGCCCGGAATCTGTGTCCTAACACAGGTCGCCATACCATCACATTCACATCGACAAGATGTCCTCTGACAATCTTTGTCAAATGTGAATCGAGAATTTGCTTCATATCGTTTTCCTTCTACATTGCATGGTCTACACTGGCTTTTTTCAGCAAAGCATTCGTTAACACTCACAGCCCTACAGATGGCATATCCTTTGCAGTCACACTGGCATCTATATCGAACACAGCCTCGTTTATAATCAAATACAGCCATACCGTGATACCTTTTACCCTCCACCACACAAAAATGACAATCATTGTTTGATACCCCACTATCTCCTGGTAAAAGAAAGCAAACATTGTATCTGTAGAACAAAGTTTTAAAAATGGAATCGATTATATGGAACAGATACATGTAGTGTGGAATACTTACTGATAACAACTGACGTAGATCCTCCCCTTGTCACGGACACTCCTCCTCCACTGCCGCCTGTTGACACAATTCTTCTCCGTATGACTCTAGAACTTCCTGTACTTCCGCTAGAACTGACCGAAGATCCCCCGCTGACAACTCGAGACCCACCACTGACTATCCTTGTGCTTGAGGAGCCACCTCGACCACTTATAACACTTCCACTTGAACTTCCGGTAATGACTCTTCTGCTTCCGCCTGATACAACTGTGCCCCCAGAGGAACTTCCACCAGATATAACCCTCCCACTAGAATGACTACCGCCACTGACGACAGTTGATCCGCCATTTCCAGTAATGACTCTTCTGCTTCCGCCTGATACGACTGTGCCGCCAGAGGAACTTCCACCGGATATTACCCTACTACTAGAATGACTACCGCCACTGACGACAGTTGATCCGCCAGACTGGACGTGTGTGCCGCCGACGTGTGAAGAACTGCTGGATCCACCTGTTATCCTTGAACTACTTATGACATGAATTTGTAAATTACATAACGTGTCTACAGGAGCTTGACACTGAGGCAGGCCGTTACAAGTACACTGACAGCGGTATGTCGAACATCCAACGTTAATTTCAAAAGAAGATCTAGGTGCGTGTTCAATACCGTTTACAATACACTTGCGATCACATCTGTGGGACACTGAGAGAAAAACGGCTGAACTCTTTGAGTATTTTATAGTTCCAGATAGGATACCCTCTACACAAGAGTCGATGATCTTCTTGGCGACTCTGTATCCGGAATTACAATAGCACCTCAACATGTGTCGATGGCATCCATCCACGTATTCAAATTGGGAATTGCCAGGGAAGAAGTGATCATTTATTTTGCAAGCTGAACAATACCTAGCTGGTGTGCTGCCAAGAGACTTCAGTTGGAATTCCTGGAAATAATGACTATATGAGGAACAAACACTGGTTGCTTGTTCAACAGGACACTCTACCTTTCCATCACAATTGCACTGACATTTGTACTTAATACAACCCCATTGACTGTCGAAAGAAGTCCTACTGGTATGGCGACGGCCTAAGAAATAGCAATCTCTACACTGACTTCCAATTTGATGGGAGGTGTCACCAGTGTATATTGCTTCTGCTGAACATTGCCACCCTCCATTACAATAGCACTCACAATCAAAGCGCCAGTCCCCTTCCTGTAATGAAAAACGGGACCCACCGGCCACCTTATTCCCATTAACGTCACAGGTATAACAGCTACCCGAAGTATGAGGGTGGCAAGTGTCCACGGCTTTTGAGCCCGGACATTCCCAAAATCCGTTACAATTACATATACAATCCTGATATTGCATACAACCGTCTGTGTGATTAAACACTGACTGACCTTTATAAGATTTACCGTGTACGTCACAAGGATAACATCCGGTGCTAGGGTCGATCAAACAAGTATTTTCGGTTTTTTCTGAAGGGCATTCATAGGAACCGTTACAAGCACATTGACAGTGAAATCTATAACAATCCCCTCGCTCGAATGTGAAAGGAGTGTTGGCTGGGTATGTTTGGTCGTCGATCACACAGTCTCTACACTGCTGCGAACAGGTCCACTTGGCATGCTCTTTTGGGCACTTCCAGGACCCATTGCAATTACACTGACAGTGATCCCATTCCCAGCAACCCTCCTTATGCCGAAACTGGCTGTTCCCTTGATACCGATTTCCATCCACTTCGCATTCTCTACATCGATCCGTACATGTCCACTTTCCTGCCTCAGGAGGACATGACCATGACCCGTTACAGTGACACTGGCAAGGGTCATAGGTTATACAATCAACGGTGTGTGAAAATTCTGTATTTCCTGCATATTTCCTACCGTCGACACTACACTCGCGACATATATTGTCACATGCCCACCGATAGCTTGTGTTGGAACAATAATAAGACCCTCCGCATGAGCAGTGGCAGTCTGTCCATTCATGGCATCCATTTCTGTGTACAAAGTCGGTATTTCCGAGCTGAATCTTTCCGTTAACATCACACGGGCTACAAGACCCACCACTCAGATCCACCCCACTCCCCCCGCCTTGTCCACACACTTTCTTATGGGTCTTATAGTCACAATTCCATCTACCTTCGCAGTTACAGAAGCAACTGTCCCATTCAGAGCATCCATTCCGGTATTTGAAATAAGTATTTGGATTTTCCAACCTGTCTTGTGATACCAAACATTGTCTACATCTTGAATCGGAACTTCCAAAGCTCCCTCCTGCACCTCCGCCTCTCGAACCACCACTGGAGTAAGATCCGCCTGAAGAAGAAGAGGATGAACCGCTTGAGTATCCACCGGATTGTCGGCTGGAGGATCCACTTCTCTGTGACGACGAGCCACCACTGCTGTAGGATCCCGAAGAATAAGAACGACCCCCTCCACCGGAGAGCTGAGTTATTACAGTGTTACGACAGATGTCTCTACCCTGCGTACAGTTCCAGAAGCCATCGCAATGGCAGTGACAATTGCTTAGCTCTGTACAGCCACGGTTATAGTTAAACGGAGCGTTACTGGGAAACAAGACTCCATGTACGTTACACTCCTTGCAGTTCTGACCTGATGGGCCTGTACGATCAGTATTTCTGTTTCGACAAATGTCTTCATTCTTTTCCCGTGGACAGTCGTACCATCCATTACACTGACATTCACAGTTGAATTTGATGCAGCCCTCTGTGTAAGAGAACTTCTCCCCCGCGTTATAGGTAGTCCCACGGCGGTTGCACTTCCCAGTGCAGTCTGCAATGATAAATGAGTCTGAGTATGATTCAATAACAGACCAAACATAATAGGAAGTATTTAAAAAGTAACGCGTCACGTATAATCTGAATACGATTATTTTTATACCATTGATGATAAATTTACTAGTATTCTTTTAAAAAGACAAATGTAGCCCGTTAAAAATTCACAAAATACTTATTCTAAACATTAAAAGTAAATGAGAAGATTCTTTTCAGTCCTCTGGTTTTACATCAGCCATCCATCTTTGATACTTACCTCGTGTACTTTCCGGATTTCCAAACTGCGTACCGTATCCTCTGTCAGCTGAAATGAAACAGAGATGATTGAAACACGCGACTTGAAAACAATACAAATATGACAGGCTTTATAAATACCGGTAGATTACTTGTTTGTTTGTGAACGTAATATTTAAAAAAAAGAGTATCTACTTGTATGTTAAAAGTAAAGATTATAAACAGTTATCAATCTCGTTAATCCAGTAAACAAAACAATCGTGAACAGGGCCAAACCTGGATCCCTGACACACCAGAGGTGGGATCAGGTGCCTAGGAGGAGAGAGCGTCCCCTACTGACCGGTCAGAATCGCCTTAAGCCCCATGTATTGACCAAATATACGTAGTACTTCGTAGTCAGCGATATTTAAAGGAATCACTTAAAAATTGTTATGAAACAAGTAAAACAGACTATACCCTAAAGATGAAGTGTCATTACAAACACGGTCATTATGAGGATTGAAGAATGTGCAAAAGCCTGAAAAGGTTGGTTTAAAGGTTGTTGAAGTCCGTGTACCATTAACTTAATTTGTCAGTACCCTGCCCGAATTCAAAAATAGATCAACTCCATGGCGTAGCAAATCGATCTGAGAACATAACATGCAGATTATGTTGGATAACTACTTACGAAAAAAAAAGGGAAGTTGACGATAAAACTGCTGAAGACATTCCATTTGTCATACAGTTACTATTTAGTCATTATTTGCGTTTCAACTTAAATGTTTTTTTGTCGATTTTAATCTGTAATTATATTTTATTACACATTTTCAGAAATGTTGGAGTTCTTCAAAGATATGTATGACTCCTTTTTTTTTACCTTTAAGTAACCATATCATTCCAGGAAATAAATTATGAAATCTTGAAATGTAACAACAGCATCAGTGTTAATTTAATATGCCTTTTACTTGGTTGGTATGTTTTACGGTTGTGATTTACCTGCCGTTACTATCTCCAATACACTCACTGTCAGGATCACTGCCCACACCCAATACGTGAGGGGGGACGAGTGAGGCCGCATCGTTTGGATTTAGACAGGACCTGTAATACATTAACACTAGTACACTCACTGTCAGGACCACTGTACACACCCAGTACGTGAGGGGGGACGAGTGTGGCCGCCTAGAATACAGGTATATACATATTAATACTAAGAAATACATCAAAGAAGGACTAAGTAGGAGCGAGACAGGACCTACAATCCAGAAAAATGTATTAACTTACATCAAAAAAGAATCTTTGGTTGAGATAGGACTTATACACTTAATCATATTAATATTAGTATATCATGATCAAAGAAAGACTTGGTTGTGAGACAGGACTTACTAGCAAAAGGTAAATAATAGTACATCAAAGAACGACTAACCCAAGGAGTTTAAAAGGACTTATAATCCAGGTAACCTTGAATACTAGTACATCGAAAAAGGACAAAATGTGATATTTTTATGGGGAAAAAAACATATATTGGCATAGATTTAAAGAATGGACTTAACTTGAGGCTTTCTTGTTTACAATGCTTGTTTTTAACCTCTAAGTCTTTCCAGGAACAAGAGATGAACCCCTCATCTGTAGATATAGGGGTATTAGGAAGTACCGGTGTTTGACAGTCAGCTTAATGTGTGTAGAACAAAGATCTGTCGTTATATGTTTGTCTGTCTGATTATCACGTTACAAAGCAGTCGACATCCCGCTGAGAATCTATGGGGGATACGGGAATTAAAGTCAGATGAAGACTCCATTATATGCCGCTCTGATCGACGAAGACCCTGAACATAATGCTGTTATAATACCCTTGGAGATTTTTGTATATTGTATATTCTTTAACAGTGAAAATTGGTTGCTCAAAATAAAACAAAGGCAGTTTTGATTTATGTTAATTTGTAAAAGTTCCTCCTGTAACTATAACCGAAAATAATCGTAATAAAAAAATCAACCTTTGCCTATATAATAATTGCTTGAATATTTCGAGAACTGGCCAAATCTTTGCAACATTTACAGCCAAAATACAAGTTTTATATGAATATTCCATTTACAAATTTGTTAACATTAAAGCGAATTTCTACAAAAAATAAAAGTGTGGACAAATATAAAATTTTATTATATGTCATAAATAGCATGCTTAAATTCGTGTGTCTCAATAATTCTTATAGTAAGGAATCATGCAGTTAACATAATTGATACTTACTTATTTGTCCCTGTTCTGTTGACCAATTCCTTCTTTTCTCTCTTTCCCTGCGAATTTCAGTAGCACTAAGAATTAACTACTTACTCATACATTCTTCTGGTACTGATGATGCGGGGTAAGAAGTGATTGAGTCAAGTGGTCTCTCACCGACAATAACGCACTCTGATATACACCGGGCAAACTGGCTTATATCATATTTACATAGCAAACAGAAACAAAACATTCCTTTGGTCGACAGCTAAAACTTTCAGCATTCAAGAAATTTTTGTCTGACTTTTCTAAATAATACTTTAATTTTTTACATGCTTTGTCAGACTCATGCATTTATTTTAAAACGAAGCGTTTGGGCGATTCTTGTCTCTGTGCACAATAACAATGCCTCCGATACAATTGTTCGTTACTCCCGGTTCCTTTGCTGCGCTGAGCTGCGGTTGTGTGTGTGTTTGTACTTCGTCCGTTTACATGTTTTTGTACGGTCTTCCGTCACGAGTAATTTAGCGATAAGCCGCAAAAAATGACAGAAAGTGGGGATTACGTTCCCCTGTTCCGACTCGTCTAGGAGACCCGAGTGATTCAGCCCTCCTCACGTAATAAATGTATTATCCAATTAAATGGTTATAGTACTCATTTAAATCAATATATAAAATAGCACCAAAAGATTAATTCACTTTAAAATTGATTTTAATTGCAAAAAAATATATGTGAAAGGAAAAATGAAAGAGCTATATAATTATTACTGTATATATATAAATGAGGAAAAAATCTTTAAAAAAAAAATTGACAAGCTGCAGAAGTCATTATTGACTTGGTTCTCGGGGATAAATTCTCTGTCTGCATTTGAAGTCAGTGTTCGATTGGTGTGGCGGGTAATTTTGCGTGAAAAACAACAAACAAACTGCAGGTAGCGAGGGAAATCCCCGATATGTTTTTGATGATACTATAAAGTTCAAGGTCACTTCAGCTTAGCGGAACTGTCTCTAGGATTATATATAATTTGCTTAGCTTAATTGATTCCTCTCGAGTAGCACACAGAAATACTTAAATTGCTTCATCAGCTAAAATTGCTGAACAACCATACTGAAAATTCTCTAAAAAAGATTTTTAAAAGGATTTTTATATATTAACATGATTAAAGCCATATATGGCGTAACTGATCAAAAAAATATATTTTTGAAAAATACGAAATTAAGTAAAGAAATATAGTTGATACATTTAAATTACGGTAAAGCTTTTCATACAATTCTGAACACTAAGAACACCTCGTTTCATCTAATAATACGATTTTATCTTCTCTGTAATGTGTTATTTAAATCTTTTGTATTTTCTTCCGAGTCGGAGAAAATTCCGAGAATCCAAATTAAATTGTGATATCTTTATAACGCAATTGATTTAGATTTTGTAATTTACGGAAAAGTTCTATCTTTATATAAAGTAATGATACAAATAATAAGTTCTTATAATTTTAGTCCAATAATTTTCATTGTACATACGCCATATATGGCTTTAATAAATTAAATAATAAATTCCGAATATTTTTTGTGGATTTCTTTTCTCTCATACTGGTTATTTAGAGTTTGAGTAACACTGAATGATTTTATTGTTTAGAAGGTCAATGTATTGTTGCGTACAGCGGAAATCCGTTACTGGTGCATTTTCAGACGCTGTGTAATGGGAAACGACAGACTGCATCTGTTCCGTGTCTCTCTGTTATAAGTCTGTACGTAAGTTTTCACTCAAGAAAAAAATATTTCTTCACCCCCCAAAACCTTGAGCACTTCAAAATATTTCTTTGACCGCATTTTGTGAGAAAAAAAAAAGAATGGGATGTGATTACTTTAAAGTGATAATAATATGAGGTACTATATCAATATCCCGGTATGTCAAAAGTCTCATTAATATTCAATTTAAACAATAAAAAAGGCAATACCCCTTCTCGATCCTTGTTTGAATTTCAGACAGAAATATTAATGCCCTGTTCACACGACGAGTTTAATTCGCAGTAAATTAATGCGAAGTAAACTAATGCGAATCAAACAAATTTGAATTAAATTGCGTTCACACGACAGCTAATGCGAAGTAAACTAATGCGAATTAATGCCCTGTTCACACGGCGAGTTTAATTCGCAGTAAATTAATGCGAAGTAAATGCGAAGTAAACAAATGCGAATTAAAGTAATGCGAATTAAATTGCGTTCACACGACAGCTAATGCGAAGTAAACTAATGCGAATTAAAATTCTACTTCTACGGCCTGGCGCCAGTAAGGTTATTATGACGTCATTTGCAAATCACGTCACCTTATGCAGGAGCAGATGCATTTGACATAATGTTACAGTGGCTGTACAAACACTTTAGTGATTAACACAATTTTCACTCAAAAATAGCACAAATACTTCAAGCTGACCACGGACATGTGGCATTTGACCTAATTTTGCCATTACGCATGCCTCAAAATTTAATTCGAATTAGCTTCGCTTAGCGTTCACACGGAGCAAATGCGAAGTAATTTAATGCGCAGTAAACTAATTCGAATTAAACTAATTCGCATTAAATTCTCCGTGTGAACGCTAAGCGAAGCTAATTCGCAGTAACTTTACGTTTAATTCGAATTAAACTCTCCGTGTGAACAGGGCATAAAATTCTACTTCTACGGCCAGGCGTCTGTAATGCTATTATGACGTCATTTGCAAATCACGTCACCTTATTCAGGAGCAGATGCATTTGACATAATGTCACAGTGTCTGTACACACATTTCAATGACTAACAAAATTTTCCTTTGTTTTTCACTCAAAAATAGCACAAGTACCTATAGCTGACCACGGAAATGTACCATTTGACCTAATTTTTCCATTACGCATGCCTCAAAATTTAATTCGAATTAGCTTCGCTTAGCGTTCACACGGAGCTAATGCGAAGTAATTTAATGCGCAGTAAACTAATTCGAATTAAACTAATTCGCATTAAATACTCCGTGTGAACGCGAAGCGCAGCTAATTCGCAGTAACTTTACGTTTAATTCGAATTAAACTCTCCGTGTGAACAGGGCATAAGACTTTTTCCATCATTAAAGAAAATTCAATAACTTTCCTCAGAGCTGTGTTGCGGAGAATCGTTATGCATGTAGATAAGCTTGAAATAAAAGACACCACATTATTACATACTTGAGTATTTTACTAGAAAAAGACGTTAAATTAAACTAGGAGTACTGTGAACAATAAGCTCATTATATGATCATATAATCCCCCCCCCCCCAGCTATCCGTATGATTATAATGACAGTCAATTAATGTTTTGCACTGGTAGACCCGAAATAAGTGTCAGATCAATGTAAAATAGGAGGTGCACAATGGATTTAAGTAAGAAAGAATATATGAAAGTATCATTAAATTTTATTCAGAGATACCACAGAGTCTGACACATCTGTTTCATACTAGGATATTTTACATGAAAAAGACATTAATGGTAATGGAACAGCCATGCTCTATGATAAACGTGATGACTTTAACTTTTCTATCGCCAGCTTCCCTTACTTATGCAGCAATATACCTTCCTCACCTGCATACGGAGTTTATATATATCTCAGTTGATTCGATTCGCAAGAGCATGCTCTACGTATGAACAATTTCTAAAACGAAGTAAATTATTGACAAACAAGTTGATGAAACAATGCAAGAATATCAGCAGTCTCGTTTAAAGTCATCATTTCGTAAGTTCTATGGTCGATACAGTGACCTTGTCATTGAGTCAAATTAATGCTGACTGACGTTTTTCATAATAATTGTTAATCCATTATTTATACACTGAATTGACGACGGATTTTTCCGTTATTTTCCTATCATGACAAGGAGCACACGGCGGTGTGACCGGTCGGCAGGGGATGCTCACTCCTCCATGGCACCTGATCCCACCTCTGATTTTTGGAGGTCCATCATGGCGTGTCTGCTCTGCTCCTATTTTGTATTGTTTTAAGGACTTTTTATCTTGAATACTGTTCGTTATCTCCATATGTTTCATTCAGTGGTATAGGAGGAGTTGTGGATAAGAGATGGGTAACTTTCAATATTAAAAAAAAATGGCCATGCTCATTTTTTGTTCTGGGAAACCGATCAAAAAGTAATATAGGAGTTGTACAATGGCACTATATAACTGTAAACAAAGATTTTATGAAAGTCTCATTAAATTTCATTCAGTGCTAAAAAAGGAGTTGCGGATAAGAGATGGGTTACACCAAAGCGTAACAGAAGTACAGACATCACGATCCCTATCGACCCTCCCGCTTTTCAAGCAGGAGGGGGGGGGGGGTTATAATGATAACCTTACAAAACTTTATGAAAAACGCGATAACTTCAGAATTGTCAACTTATATTTTTGTAGCAATAAAACCTTATCATCTGCATATGAGGTTTACCGTTTTACATGTATATGAACAATTTCTAAATTGACGCAAGCTGTTGACAAACAAGTTGATGATTCATTAAAAATATATCCAAAGAGTGTTACAAAAAGCTGGCGATTTCCCGTAAGTCCAACTTTTTGATTCTAGTGCTTTAACCTATATGTTGACACAATTTTTAACTCTATATAAAAAAACAAGAGGCCTATGGGTCACATCGCTCATCTGACTAACTTTGGTCATGCTGTTCTAAGCCAGATTCCCCCTCTTGTAATACCTATTGTGACCCCACCCTACCACTGGGGAACACGATTTGGACAATGTTGAATCCAAACTACCCAAAGATGCTTCTACAGTTTTTAGATTTTCTGGCCTTTGGTACTTGAGAAGAAGATTTTATAGACTTTTCCTACAATTTCAATGTACAGTAAAACTCGTTTAGTACGAACACAGATAGTGCGAATTCACGGATATAGCGAAGTTATCTTGGATCCCCAGCCATATAATTTTAAGGAATTTTTTATACGGGTATATGGGACCTCTACAGTAACTTCTTTAGTGTTTACCCGAGTTTCAAAGAAACTGGACATCCTAGTTCCTACACTATACAAACAAGAAAGACCAATGCACCTGTCTCATATTTTTTTGACATTGTTCTTCCCAATGACCTTCAAATTCTATTTTTCTCCATTTTACTCCCCATTCATCTTGTTCAAATCCAGTAATAAAAGGATTACTCCCATTAAATGAAG